AAGACATTTTCATGGATGCACATGATATGCACTGATATGTGCACTGACACAGTGCTGGAGTGTGTTATGTCCCCGGGGTCCCGTGTTCCAGCAGTCACGTCTCCTGTAAAGTCTGCAGGACGAGCAGGAAGAGGAGCTCGGGGTCAGCTGCTCCTGCTGCTGCTTATATAAGCGCAGAGCAGGCATGAATGGAGGGGCAGCGAGGAGTGAACTCAGAGCACTGAGGCTGCACAATAAAGAGACGTTTCTCTTTTGAATAATGGGTTTGGTGCAGCTCAGTTCATAGACATTTACTTCTAATACTTTGACTCCCCGAGAAGGGCCAAGCAACACGCCTGAAGAAAGTTTTTCACTGAAGGCCCTGACACACCAAGCAGAAAAAATAAAAGCAAAAAAATAGTGCCGACTAAGGCCAACTGTGCATGGCGTCGCCTCACGTCTTGGCCAAGAAGTTGCACTAGAACACACTACAAAGACTACAACCGACGGCCAATCACCACGTACGTTCTGCCCAAGTCTGAGAGGAAATAACTCTCCATGCCAGCAGGGGGCGGTAGTCCGTTATTATGATAGGAGAAGACCAATTTTCACACCGCTGTCGCTCACCACACGTGTTATAGGTCGTCTACTAATGGAGAATAATGTCTGATAAAAAGGTGAAAATGGCGCTGGCGTTGTCAGCCCTTTGTCTTTTAGTGGAAAAAAGAGACGAAGAGGAGGAGGAGACAGATAAGGAGAAACCGCACTAATGGGTGAAAGCATGGATACTACAGCGACATGCTCAAGGGGTTTTACTGAACCTGAGAGGAGAGCTGGAGATAAATGAAACCTCCCAACAGCCAATCAGAGAGCTTTCTTTCACCGACTGCACCAACCGTGATCAAACACAGGTGAGACTGATTTACCTGACACAGGTGAAAACAATCAAGGTGGGTGCACACACTCGCTGTTTGCTAAGCTGGTTTCAAACGGCGCTTCAGTGTCATCATCTACTTACAGTCTGAAAAAATCTAACAAGTGATTCATTTAGATTTTCATGATTTAGAGAATCAAAGATGATAACTGGTGGTGTCTTTGTGTGTGTTGGTCCCCTGTTATGATGCTAGTTGCTGTCCGTCATTTCAATATCTGACATGACGCTTTGCATTGTGGGAAACAGTACAGAAGGAAGACTGGACTGATGCATCTGTGATTTCTTTCCAAATCAGAGCGACATCTGGGTAGTTTTGGCATACTGTGGAGCTCACAAGTTTTTGCATATTGAATATTGCATTTTGGCCAAACCGGTATGTACCGCTAGTATAGAGACTCAATTAACAGGGCAATCAAACACTCAGGTGAGACTCATTAACTGACACAGGTGAAAACAATCAGGGTGGGGCTCACAGTCACTGAGGAGGGAGCGCACAGAAAGGGATGATGCAACGAGAAGTCGCACTGGGTGAGAGAACTACAAAAATAAAACAGGAAACACTAAAGAGTAGACTGAGAGGAAGACAGAATACCCTGGGGTTGCATTCAGATTGTCCCTCCTATCTCCTTTCACTATCCTCTTTACCTTAACCCCGGGGAAAACGTCATGAGGTTAAGGAAAGATGTTCGGAGAATTCATAAAGTTACAAAAATGGACGCATCTAAAAAATCTTTCCCCTGTGCCTTCTTACCGGCGAAATAATCCTAATTACCACAAGGTTGGAATTGAAGTAAAAGCAATATAGGCTACCAGGCTACGAGTAACAAAATGTTTGCTCACCTTCCTGTCCGCTCATAAATCAACATTCATCCAAAATAAGTGTGATAGTATGAGATGAATTGTTACATTTATGCAAGATATACACAATGTTTCAGGCATACAAATGTACAACTGCGCAAAGCATTCTTAAGTGAATGAAATACGTTGAATAAAACACATGTAAATGTTTTAATTAATAAAAAACCCTGACACAATATGAGAAGTCAATCAGTTTATTCATCGTCAGAGGTGAGACAGTAGTGTGTGTGAAGCTGGCTGCCGGCCTGAACTCTCTGTGACAATCCTGCACAAACGTTCTTCTTTGTAATGTTCACACCATCATCCCGTCAGCAAAGAAAAATATATAACAAACGACAGCAAAGCAAAGCAAAAAAAAAACAGGATTCAATAAAAAAAATCAGGTTTTAAAGGTCAGATATTATGGGAAATGTACATTACCATGTTTTTCTAACACTAATATGTGTCCTTAGTCTGTCTACAAACCCCCCAATTAAGAGAAAAGTCCATCCTCTCTGTCGTTTGCCTGCTCCACTTTTCAGAAAATGTGTGCTCAAACAGGCCGTTTGGAGATTTTCCCTTCATGACATCACAAAGGGCAGTAACCCCTCCCCCAGGTGGGTGACACTCCCACAGCTAGGTGTTTGTTCTGCCCTCTGAGTCTGTCTTCTCACCGTAAACAATAGAACATGGAGCGAGAAAGCCCGAGCCACCCATGTCCTTCCAGAGAGGGGGCGTGGTCAGACACAGCTCATTTACATATTTAAAGCTACAGACACAGAAACAGCCTGTTCTGAGCAGGGCTGAAATAGAGGGGTTTATAGACATGATCAAATACAGGATCAGAGTGGATTTAGAAACTTCACACACATGTTTTGAGGAGCTCTGAGACAAACTTGTTTGAAAAGGAGGACAATATGTGCCCTTTAAATAGAAAGGAAATCTATACATTGCCTTAGCACAGCTGAATAACAATGTCGGGGAAGAAATATCTAAACAAGTTTAAATATTTGTGTCCGGATGTGAACATGAATAAAAGAAGACAGATAGAGGAGACTATTTTATGATTTTGTGTCCTCAGTGAGCTCTGTCCTGACATGTGAGTCAATCAGAAGGACTCAGTATCTCTGATGATGATGACGCTTAAATATCAAGAATCAACCTTTCAAAAACTACACAGTGTGAACTACAGATACTTTTTTTTTTTAATCACACAAACATCTTTACATAAATGTCCCCGTCTGGTTCTGCTCTGGAAAGCAGTGTCACTGTTCCTGTCTGTTTTTCTGAAAGGAGATCGAAAGTTTTTTGGTCCTCAAAATTATTTTGTGAATGAAGCTGACAGAAAGTGTTTTATTTAATAAAAGTAACACACATTGTGGAAGCATTGTTTTCTAGTTTTGGAGCACATTCTGGTTCATTCTTGTGCCTTTAAAGAGAGGACTGTGAATGACTGTACCTTAAGCTGAATGTCTAAATTAAACATTTACTCGGTTCAAAAAAGATGGAGCAGCTCTAAACGAGTTTACTAAGGGCCAAATTTAAGACAGCAAGAGTAAAGCACTAAATTAACGAGGATAAAGTCGTTCATTTACGATATTCAGTTTGTAAATCGATTTAAACTAGGCTACGGTTAAAATAATTATTCTGAAAGGTTCTCTTCAATTTACGACTTTCTTCTCTCATGATTTTTCCTCATACATTTCTGAATTTGTTCTTTTAAATTTATGAATTTAATCTTGAAATCTCAAAAAATGTTTCCCCCTCGTGGCTCTAATTCTCCTTAAGAATGATGTAAAATCTTGTGAGATCAGACAGAGAGAGAAATATCCTCCTCACATTGTAAACACGCAGGCTTTCGAGGACTACGATCCAGCCTGAAAGTGAACTCCATATCGGCTAAATCGTTGGCGCGCAGATGGCCTAGTGGTTAGTGTACATGCCCTATGTACGGAGGCTTTAGTCCACTAAGCGGGCAGCCCGGGTTCTAACCCATCCTGAGGTCCCTTTCCTGCATGTCATTTCTCTCTCTCTCTCTGATTTCTCACTCTATCTACTGTCCCATCTTTAAATAAAGGCATGAGAGCCCAAAAACAAATCTTTAGAAAAATAAAAAGATGAGTTGGAAATTGTCAAGAAAAAGATGTAAATGAAGTTCTTGAACCCAAAGTTGTTCTGTGGATATTGCAGATCTGAACACATTAACATGGTGGGTGAGCACAATCAGAATTAATAAAAAAAAAATTAAAGGTAAAATAAATGAATCATTCTCCTTGTTTATCAGCGTTTGAATTCCACTGTGCTTCCATTAGTAATTAAAACATAAAGATTGAAGTCTCTCTCTCCGCTCCGTTAGAGCAGGTGAGCAGTCAGGTGTCTGTTGTTCGTCATGAAAGTCTGTCGTGGGTTCTCTCAGCTCTGAGCTCCTCAGACAGCGGTCCTGGTTGTGCAGTAGACCTCCTGTTGGACTGAACAGAGTCCGAGCCCCCCTGCTGTGAGTGTAAAGAGGAAGCCTGAGATAGATGCAGCATGCAGGGCGTTTCCTGGGGTGGGTGGGGGGGGATGTACACATGACTGGAGAAAGAACAGAAACCACCAGCGAATGGGGAGATAACACAACATGAAAAATAAGAATGAACTAAAAAGTCTCTTCATAGCGTCGTGCGGACTCGTGTGAGTTGGGAGCCGATTAAGTCACCACAACACAGCAGCCATTTTTATTTGACGGGATGCTCAGTTTTTGGACGCCAGATTGCTTTTATAAAGTTAAATGATGAACTGATTATCAAAGAGACAATGGACTATACAGATCAGGTGATTCAGGTCTTAGACTGTAAAGAATAGTGGCTGAAGCCTGAGTGACGTCACCTCGTTGGTTGTGAAAGGGGGCTTTGGAAGCACGTTGATGGCGGTCGCCCTGCAGGATGTGCTGTCAGTCAGTCTAACGGCAGGCTGAGAGCTGGAGCTGAGGCGGGTTTTAAGCCTCTTGATGAACCGTTACGACCCGGCAACCTGTCAATCATGTCAGCTAAACGCGTTATTGTGAAGAACTCTTATCCTTCATAAAAACCAAAACAGATGAGTAATCAAAAAAATCACCCTGCGTACAATGTGTGCAGATCGAGACATCTAATCAAACCTATTTCATTTTTTGAACCAGCCTGTAAACATGTTAATCTCTGCTGTAAAAACTGGCTTTTTTGAATGGGTGTGTATGTGACTGTAAAGGCTTCTGCAGTCAGCCCTCTAGTGGACACTCGATGAACTGCAGTTTTGCACTTCCGCATTAGCTTAATTTTTCAAACGGGAGGTTGCTGCTTGGTCATATTTTAATGACAGTTAAGACATTTGATAACCAACTAGCTTCCAACAGCTCATTCACAACAGATTGGATGACATCCTCTCGATTTGGTCGTCAATTTAAGCTGCAAGATTTCCGGTCTCTCTTTCTGCTCTGCTCTGCCCTGCACCAGCATTACACTCTCCATCACTTCAGCATCCACCTGCAGGCTCTTACAAAAGGTTTTAAGATACCACCTCATCACTCGTCATGTAAAATAAACCTGTGAGGAGTGATGAGCACCGAGCCTCGATGCCAATCACAAACAATGTTCTGCTGCTGCGATCGACATTTCAAAACATTACAAAATGTGAGCCGTCCGTCTGACTGAACGATTTCCTGCAAAAACACAACTGTAAGCTAACAATTCAGAAAGTGAGGCGTCTACACTTTGCTATCTTCTCGTGTGAAAGTGTCAAACTGTAAAGTTTATACAATTTGCACGGCGGCTTGAACACAGCGGTGAGACATAATAACGGCGTTTGAGTTTCCCACCCTGCAGGTGACGTCAAAGGAATATGGCTGCCGTGGGATTATGGCGAATTGCACACGTTTAAAGACGTGCTGAATCCACACTTTTTTCTTTTCATTAAATCATGATTTGACAATGAAACAGGTTGCACTACTCCACAGCTCACATGGATGTTGTGTCATGTTCAGGGAGAAGATGCTTGGACGTTTTTTTTTTTCCTTTTTTCCCTGTTTCCATAGAAACATGTCAAGTGATTTATTTTTGTATCTGAGCGGATCAGAAGTCGTCTTGTACAAAGAGAAGTTGAAAATTGACTTGAAAAAGATGTAAAAATTACACTGTGGCTGTACAAAATCATCTTTTTTTTTACCTGTGTGCATCTTTTCATTACATATATTTTTTATAGAAGTAGCACCTGTGTGCTTTTTTATACGCACTTATATCGTCACTTTTAAAGGTGGAAATAATCCACTCAGTAAAAATATGTATATTTTCATAGAATACTCCAGCTGCAAGCATTTGATCACAATAAATCACCTTATAATCTTTGATATATCATCTTTTTTTAAACAATATCTCTGTACTTTTTGTTTTGATCCCAGAGTTTGGTCAAGCTGACGGTCCTACGTCCTGTCAGGTGAAAACACTTGAGTCCTTTTTTGTACAAACTGCTGGGCCTCCAAGACCACATCCAAGTCCAGATCAAGGTTTAACCTGAAGAACTCAGAGGAGGAAGAGGAGGAGAACGAGGACGGAGGGGGGGGAGGGACTTTAAGAGGGGGAGAGGAAGTTCTGTTCTCAGTGGAAACGGTGGACCGCGTATCTTGGATCCTTTGAGTCGCGGATCTCAATCTAGAGGAGAAACAGAGAGAGAGAAAAGAGAGAGAGGGACGTTGTGAGGACAGCTTCAGTTACAATATGCTTCATAAAATAATACAAACATGTGATTTGGGAGGGAAAGAGGAGAGATGAGGGGACAACAAGAGAAGAAGAGGACCCAGACTTATTCATGTGTTTGTCAGTCGTCTGTACTGATCACAAGATAAGAGGCGGGACATGACGTTGGAGGGAATTGATTGGATTGTTAGCTTCGACAAAATTAGTTTAAAAAATGTGTAAACGTCCCTGACTTTGACTTTTTACATGAAGAGAAAATACATTTATTTAGATGTTAAAACACTCAGATAACTCAGAGGATACTTTATTGAAATATAAAAACATTTAACACAGGAACGCTGGATCATAACCAGGAAAATGTAATGGGGACTTTAAGGTTATTTTTCCACATCCATCAGACTGAGACATTTGGGAACTTGTTAGTGATAATTTAACAGCAGTCAAAGACATGTTGATGAAGTTATTAGAGTCCAGCTCTTCCATCCTGCTGTTTGCCTCTGCAACATTTTAAACATAATGATTTAGTAGTCTGTGGTTTTGAACAGTGTTGTCTCCACACTCTCTCTCCCTCCTGTTGCTCTGTGAAGTGAGAGAGACGGCAGGAGGGCTCTGACATATGAGTCAGAGCGAGCCGGCGAGATGATGTGGAAAATGAAAAGGACCAAAACAAACACAAATAAACGCACTAATGCAATAAGCGGGAAAAGGTCACACTGTAACGCATTTTCTCTCCCTTCATACGACTCGTTCTGTCAGCGCAGCGTTCTCCTGGAGAGCATTTTGTTTCAAACACATTCATCATATTTGTATGGTTTGACTTTTAGTTTCATGATGATTTGTCTTTGCACACAAAGATCACTTTTTTCACACTTACTTGCACAAACCTCCAGAAAAAAGTTTTCAGGCTGAGCTGCATGTGTGAACGCAAACAGCTGATTTCTTTTACTTGGATTTAATCCCGGAGTTTCTCCTGCCAGCACCCTAGTATTTTTTTTTCCCGCATGAAGTCTGAGTGAGCTGATGTGAGAACGCAGCCGGAGATAATCAGGATAATTCACCTCGAGCAAGTGGGAGTGGGTGGCAACGTTTATTCCCACTGTGAGGGGCGTGTGTGAACAACAAGATCCGGAAGATTTCAGGGGCAGCAGCCCTACTCAAATTCTCCGGAAATGTTTAGGAGTGCATACTGTGAAAACCTGCACATGAAAGCTACGGCCTGGCCCGTCTATAACGAGGTCATAATGAGGAGCATCCTATTGGTGAGTTGCTCCACAACTTGTATTAAACACAGAAGATACAGCATGTGAATATTCCTGGCAGGCAGACTGTTAGATAAATCCAAAGTTTCTACTTGCAGGAACACTGAATCCATCTTTTCATCCAAGAGGGGAATATAAAACTTACATTTCTAAAACGCACAGACAACACAAGGAGAGGTTAAAGAGGGGTTCACGGTGCAAAGCCCTTTACAGGACAGAGGAAGAGGACAGCCATCAGTGTGTCATAATCAGGTCGGTGTTTGGACTGCATGCAGAGGGGGTCATGCTGCAGACCTGGATCAGCACTTCATAGAAACTAATATAGAAAAAAACTGATCTTACTCCATCCATTCGGAGAGAAGAGCCAAGATGGAGCTGTGAGGAGGAAACAGTTTCAGAATCATCAGTTGTTTTAATGACCTTCTACTAAAGGTAAAGGTTGAATGGTTTTCTGAAGACGCTCACTGTGTCACACTCACACCAGGTCAAAGACACTGGGGACACATGTTTTAGCATCTCTACTGATGGGATCATGTGCTTCTTATAGAACCTGCCAATTAAATAAAGGCATTTTAAACATTCCTCTAAAGACGTTTGCCTTTTCTTTTTCCTGTCTTTAAAATAAAAAAAGTGACATTCTTGAGGGGCGTGTCCTTGAAATCTGATTGGCCACTCCAGGTGCAGACCCAAAATCCAAATCTATGATTGGCTATTTGTCTAATCAGAGGTAAGAGGACAGAGGACTTCATTTCCAATACATGTTTTTTTTTTTTTTTTTAATTTCGACAGTATACAAGAGTTTTCATGCAATTCTTTAAGTACTTAAAATTGTGACTGTACACATTCATCTTTGTTTTTAAATCCATTTTGTCCAAAGTGTTTTACCTTCAAGTACACATCATTAGTGGGCATAAAAAGGGTAAAAATAAAAAAATGTAATTCATTTGAGTGTGTGTGGCCTCAAACATCACGTCATGCCACGTCTGCATAAGTCAGAGCCCCAGGTGGGCCACCCCAGTTAAAAAAAAAGTCTGGACACGCCCCTGTTGATAATCAACTTCTGAAGTATTTGTTGATGAGCACACGCATTAGAACATGTAACAAAGAAATTCCTTCATATTTGTAGCCCTTAATCTACCCCCAAAGATACATGAAATATTAAATAAATGGATGAAGAGTGTACATGAGAAGGGCTCCTGCACAGTTTTACCCTCATTTGACACACCTGTCATACATTCAGGTGTGCAGAGGTTTGTTTCTCTGAAGAGTGTACATAAAAACACCCATATCGAGTATTGTTCCTTTACTATTTTGAGAAAACAGAAAACCCATCCCGGCACAGTGAGACGTCCCTCATTTCCTCCTCTTCTTCATCACTATCGGGCACAGATAGTTTTCCTCGTGCTGGTGCTTTCAACAATGTCTTTTTCATGCTCTGCGGCGCACACAGCTGCTAACATCTCATTAATGTTTTTGGCTTGTAATTAAGCTGATTTTCCCGTCCTGTGTTTCTTTGATGCTGACACACACGCACAGAGCGGCTGCAGGGCCCGGTGTTCGCAGCTGCAGACACACTCCTCACCCCAAAGTCCTCCCTCGACTTGACGGCTCCTCTCGACTCGCGGTAGACCTCGCTCCTTTGGGAAAACATCGCACCTGAGGGTGTTTTCCACAACATGCAACCACCCTTTTGTTTTCCACACTGATTGCTCCTCTTCGTCTATACAGCTCCACCTCGGCACAGACGCTCTCTAGCCTTCAGCCATGTCCCCCTGTGTGGATTTTTTTTATCACTTTACCACGCTCTCTAATGTGACCAAACATCATGTTTTCACGAGAACAGAGCAGGATATCTGAGCTGACACCAGGTAGGTCGGCTGAGGGAAGCTGAACTCAGTGAACAGGAATAGATTACTGCGATGTTTGAAGTAACAAACACTGGCAGTTACATGCAGAATTACTTTCATGTGATGGGACTGTGAGACACAAGAAATCACATTTGGTGGTAGTGTGGTGGTTAAGAAACATTTAAGACAACCGACTGCAAAGAGAGACACTTTAACTCTCTCATACTACATGAAAAATAGAAGAATGCAGATATTACATACATTACACAGTGAGTGTACCTGACAGCCTGAGCTCAGGGACACAAGGACCCACTCGCTTCGACTTTGAATTTTTGCACATAGATGTGCCTGAACATGCACAGGACACATGGAAAACACTCTAAAGAGCATATAAAACCAGAAAAATCATAATATGACCCCTTTAATGTAACTCCAAGAATCAAGTCATCCATCTTCATCATGAGCAGACGTCTAATTGGTTTAAATAAATGACCATTCGTACTTTTCAGTTATTTTTAGGCTTCATAATTTGAGTTTGATGCATTTAAATTTCTGAGTGTCAGAAATTAGGAAAGCATGTACTTAATTGAACCCATGCAAACTGCTTTATGTTCACACACAGTTAAGACCACTCACAACCATGAGATGCACAATCACTACACAACTTTAACACAAGCAACGGCGTGAACTTACCCGTGACACGACGAAATCTGAGGAAGAGACAAAAAGAGAGAGAGATTAATAAAGCTTCTCTTTGTTCAATTAGGGCTGTCAGTTTTTGAAATTAAACAATTTGGGAAAAAATCATCACAACTAAATGTATTTGTTTTGAAATATGATAATAAGCTTGATATGCATTTGACTAATCGCGCTGAAACTTTCGAGGAGATGCATCTTTTCATTTATGCTGCTTTAATCTACGTCACATCTGATCAGCTCTGTTTAAGTTCATTTGAGCTCCCTCTATTTCACCGCCTGTTAGAGCTGAAGAAATGTTTCTATGTCTACAGCTGAGTGAGGACATCAATGCAACATGGGGAGGAAATTAGGAGCTTGTGGGTGCAGCTGAGTTATGAGTTATATAACAAAAGGAGATTATCTCCAATATTGCATGTCTGTATGATGGCCCGCATCTGATGGACATGATGCTTCAGAGAAAAAAAGTCAGAAAGGAGACAAAGATAGAGACAAAAGAGACAATGAGAGAGAGAGAGAGAGAAAACAAAGGACAAACAAAGAGAGTGAGAAAGACTGCCATGTAAAGAGTGAAACAGAGACGGACACAAACAGACAGAGACGCATGCACTGAGAGGAAACCAGAGCCTCAATCTGACTCGTAACCATGGAAACTTCCTCCACACACACACTCAGAGGAACTGGGGGAGTTTTATTTTTATCTTCGGCTAAACTCGCCTGATGATGCTCTTTATAACAACATGAAACCAACATTTACTCTTAACACTCCAGCTTTAAAAACACACAGCTGAAAACAGAGTGAGAGGAGAGGGGACGTTTGAGGGTGAGGACGTCGTTAAAAAGTTGCTTAAAGGTAAAAAATTTAGAATTTTATGACAATGTTAACATTCAAATATCTAATGTAGATTTTTCAATTTATTAGAAGAGAGAACTCCCATGATTCCCTGCTAGCCTCGACGTCATCTTTTGTTAATGTTTTGATTGAGAGCCCCCCGGCGGTGGATTTGACATACCATGCATTGAATGTCTCTACCATGATCGAATTTTGTAAAATGCCGTTATGTGCTGACATGAAATCATTTTCATGATTAATTGAAGTGCACAGAACGCAGATTTATTCAGGTCACACCCTGCATGGACTGATTAATCATGCATGCAAAGCAATTAACCAACACGTGTCCAAATTTTAAGATGTGTGCACATTTTTTCAGAGCATCTATAATTTAGTTTGCTCAGCTACTTCAAAACCGATTTCACTTTTTTTCAACAAATCAAACTCAATGATTTGCCTTTTATTTATTGAGTTATCAAATCTGACACACTGTTAAAAAAAATAAGGAAACACAGCTTTGATGAGCTGTTTGATGAGAAGCTGGTTGTCTGCGTGTGACTGTGTTTGAGTTGCATTAATCAATGGTTATGGTAAGTATATTTAAAGGTTACATATTCTCCCTCTTTTCAACCAGTCTCAGAGGTCCCCAAAACATGTCTGTGAAGTTTCTTGTTCTAAATCCACTCTGATCCTGTATTTGATCATGCCTATAAACCCCTCTATTTCAGCCCTGCTCAGAACAGGCTGTTTCTGTGTCTGTACCTTTAAATATGTAAATGAGCTGTGTCTGACCACGCCCCCTCTCTGGAAGGGCTTGGGTGTACTCGGGCTTTCTCGCTCCATGCCCTATTGTTCACGCTGGAAAGGTGGACTTAGAGGGCAGAACAAACACCTAGCTGTGGGAGTGTCACCCACCTGGGGGAGGGGCTACTGCCCTTTGTGATGTCATGAAGAGAAAATCTCCAAAACGGTCTGAGAGGATGTCTATGTTATGTGTAGGGCTTTAACTTGTGCACAAAACTCCTGAAAACGTCCTGAAATTTCAGAGTTGAGCTGCATGTGTGAACGCAAACAGCCAAATTGTCGACTCTGACTTCACCTGGACTTTTTCCTGCTAGCCCCCCTAGAAAACGTTCTGTGTCAATTTGAGGTGAGCATGTTAACTGTTAATTGTTGACAAAAAATACCTTTTTTTTTATCCTGTTATATACAAAGTGCCAATGCTTAAGTCTGTTTTCCATGTCTTACCTTTGTGGTCGGCCTTCAGCTCCTCTTGCAGGAAGTCGCTCTGCCGGTTGCCGAGCACAAAGGCCAGGAAGGAGAGGATGAGGCTGTTCAGGATGCCGATGATAGCCAATATGTAAGCCCAGCGCACGGAGCAGTTACCCAGGGTGTACCTCCCCGTGTCCTCTCCGCACATGTCCCGGATGATCTCTGTGTCCCAGCCGTTTGGGAAGATAATACAGCCGAGCACCAGACACACGGCTAGAGGGAAGACAGAGGGAAGGATGGAGGAATGAAGGGACGATAGAAGAGAAAGGGCATGGGTAGACGTAAGCAGAAAGGTTGTTGGATATGGTGGTCACATAGAGAACAATGTAATGACATTATTGGAATTTGTCAGGCGGTGTACGTAATAACACAAAGAGCGATCGGTCAAGGGTACAGGGTTATGTTCAATGAAAAGCAGCACAGGAAAGAAAATCAATATGGAAACAGGGTCAAGGCGTACAACAAAGCAAGATTGAAAGTCAACACGCAGACAAAGGAGGGTGAGGCCGGTGAGGAGAGAAAATAGGTTTATGTGTAAAACAGCGTGCAGGGCAGAGGGTCACATTGACAGTAACAAGATGAGAGAGAGAGAGAAGAGAGGAGAGGAGAGGAGGAGAAACAAAGTATTAGTTTTCTCTTCCACTCTGGGTTGTCAGCTTGCTGTGGCAAAACAAGTATCTGTCTTATAACTCAATCTCTTGTCCCTCTATTTGTCTTACTTTCTGTTCTTTGAACTGACACAGAGACAGAAACAAAGAGGTCGAATTTGGAAACATGAAGGAATGAAACAATTAAATTATGTGAGAAGGTCAGGACAAGAGATGGCTGGCTGGCTGGTTGGATGGATGGATGACGGATTGCTGGATTGCTGGCTGGATGGATGGTTGTTTAGTTGGATGGATGATGGATGGATTAATGTTTGAATGGAAGGATGGCTGGATGATGTAAAGATGGATGGATGGATGGATGGATGATTGGATGGATGGATGGATGAATGGATGGATGGGAGGATGGATGGATGATGTAAAGATGGATGGATGGATGGATGGATGATTGGGTGTATGGATGGATGAATGGATGGATGGGAGGATGGATGGATGACGGATTGCTGGCTGGCTGGATGGACGACTGGATGGATGGATGAATGAAAGTATGGATGGATGATGGATGTATGGATGGATGACGGATTGCTGGCTGGATGGATGGATGATTGGATGGATGGATGAATGAAAGTATGGATGGATGATGGAAGGATGGATGGATGATGTAAAGATAGATGGATGACGGATTGCTGGCTGGCTGGATGGACGACTGGATGGATGGATGAATGAAAGTATGGATGGATGATGGATGTATGGATGGAAGGATGGATGGATGATGGATGATGGATGATGGATGATGGATGATGGATGGATGATGGATGATGGATGATGGATGAATGAAAGTATGGATGGACAGGTGGATGGATGATGGAAGGATGGATGATGGATGATGGATGATGGATGATGGATGATGGATGATGGATGATGGATGATGGATGATGGATGGATGATGGATGATGGATGATGGATGATGGATGATGGAAGGATGGATGATGGATGGATGATGGATGATGGATGATGGATGGATGATGGATGATGGATGATGGATGATGGATGATGGATGGATGATGGATGATGGATGATGGATGATGGATGATGGATGATGGATGGATCCATGGACTTTCAGGAGTCCTACATGAGAAAAACAAAGCGATGTCTTATTTCTCAGAGGTTAGCAAAAAACCAACACAAACTGAAAGTTCCTTATTGGACCACCCCTTCTATACAAACCTCCCCGTGTGCCTCTTTGGTGCCATGAAGTTAACATGAAATTAAAAAAAATTGATTGAACTTCATCAAAACTGTTGTTATCAATAAAAAAAACAATTCATGACTTATTTTTAAATCTTGAAACTTCTCTACATGTGTCTGATTGTTTAAATTAACCAGAAGCAGTGAGAAAAAAACATCCAACCTTATGTTGTGTCAAAAGCAGAAATAGAAATGTAAGCACCTCCACAGTTTAACAGTTAACATGTTGTACTGTTGTTGTCCACACATGAACACAAACCATTAGAACAACAATTAGCGTTGATAGGAGTCCATTGTGAGGTCACAAGATTTAGAATTGTAATTAAAACCTGTGTCCAGCTGCATCTGACGACACTACTGATGCAGCTGTCTCTCATTGTTTTGACTCTCTATTATTGTAAAATCTCTACATCCTCAAAAATGATCAAAATGAAGCTGCAGCACTCTGAAAAGACTCTCCCTACAGTGACGTTATGTGAGGCTCTGTCCATGGTGCTGAACCGGTGTGAGACGGCTCCTATCAAACATTGACCACACATCTTTCTTCTCCAAATCTCACGAACATGAAGCAGAAATGTGTAAATAAATATGTTTCAGGAAACCTCATTGAACTAATAAAACTCACTGACTGATTCAAAAAGTATGTACTTTATAAGAAGCACCTTCACAGTCACGCTCATCTCAACCTAGTTTGACAGCAAGAGAGACTTTTAGACTTCACACCACATTCCTGAAAACACCAATGAATGACGGATTTTAAGAATAACACTGTTCAACTCCATTCAGAGCTCTGAAGCTGCTTTGGAGACAGCGAGTGGGAAAAGGTTTTGATGTTTGATTAATGAAACACTAGACCGATGCTACTGTAATCAGAGTGCATTAAAGTCAGCTGATGGAGAGGCTCAGTGCGAGCAGGGACATACAGGATTGTAGACTTCAGCTGATGTAAGACAAGTGAAGAAGAAGAAATCTCCAAAGTCTCGGAAAGAAGGCAGCAGGACTTCTGAGGAGGTGATGTTAAAACCTCCATGTAGTGCAGACCTGCATGCAGAGAAGAAACTGGATGGCACTTGATGGACCATGCAGTACAATAAATAAGGATAACTGCCAAGTAAACCTGACTTTTACGAACTGTTTTCCTAGATACAATTTTAAAAACTTTGATTAGTGCAGCTATAGTTTGGATGATCTTAAAATGGATCAGAGAAGCCGCTCTGCATTTAAAAGTAGCTTCATAAAGGAAAATACAGGAGGCATGGTAGAGGAAAAAGTGAATCAAATTAGTGAGCTGATGTTTACTGGCTGCCAATGTGTTCTCATTCCCAAGTTTTCTAATGCCTACACTTTGCTGAAAAAGCCCTTTAGCGTGTTATTTAGATGCACATTGCATGGGATGCAGGGCCAGAAACTCCTCAGTGTAGCTCAATCGGTGACAATATATTGTTGGGTTCTAGTTATACACACATCAGGTGAGTGCAGGAAGATATGCCTGCACACTTACTCTACATGAGTTGTGTCAGTGCGTACTCTGAATGTTTATTAGTGAGTTAGTGTTCTGCCTTTCTGGGATAAGGACTTAAAATCACAACAAATCATACGGTTTAACATGGTAAGTTTCTTTCTTCTAACTGTTACAAATTGTTCTTTTAAAGGCAGGGTTGGTAATTTTTGGAAAACTAGCATGATTTTGAAAGTAGCATTCCCTCAGTGCTCCGTCTGCACCCACCCCCTCCCCTCTGTGCTCACTCAAGAGCCACGCCCCCCTCACTTACACGCATGATCGCTTTCATTGAGTAGAAACTACGTCGTCTCATGTCTCATTCAGCGATAAATAAACACTAAACTTTATTAAAATACATACGACTATTTCACCAAGGACAAACTCACAGTATGAACTCCGTCATCGTTGACGCTCTTTGAGTGTGGGCTAGTGCACACAAGGGGTAGAGAGCGAGCAGGGAGACAGGGAGGCGCCTGATTGGTTCATCAGATTGGTACCTCGTGGCAGACATTGGTCAAAGTTCTTACAGGCTTACAAACTGATACAAGTGACCGATTTTCTTCGTTCCTTTTACAGAGCACATGAGTTATTTGTGTCTGTCAGGACCTAAAGACAAGTTCAATCAGAATCTTAAAAAGTGTTTCTGTAGAAAATGACCAACCCTGCCTTTAAAAATCCTTGGTAACATAATGAGCCTCAACTCCTGGGTGAAAGTCCTGCTTTGTTTGACAAGTCCATGCTCCAAACCAACACCCAGTGTGCATGTTTTTCAGAGAAGTTGCTCTAAACATTTTGAATGTGTGGTGGATGCTTTTCAACGTGGAGTTCAATCAAGGCCCTTTGCACCTCTTGCAGCTGCTGTACCTTGTGTGTGGGTGCATGACACACTGAGGGTCCTTTTTTTTTTTTTTTTGCATCCAAAGCTTCACACTTCCAAACTTCTGTGTAGCATATACCAAAGAGGTCTATGTTTCTTTGTATGATACGAAACACAACGAGAGATTGAACCCTGTTGCCTCTGTCCTTACTTGCACGCTGGAAACATGACACACAGTTTTCTGCAGTGTGGTTTGAAAGCAGCCACAACAGTTTTAGTGTGGTATGAAGAGTTTACGTTCCCCCCGTGGTTTTCTTTTAGCCCTGCCTGTCAGACAGAGGTGAACAAGACTCACTCTTAATAATTCATCGAGCCTCGTTTAAATCTGTGTCAGGCAGGCTGGGACGGCTGCACACTTCTCTCTGCGCTCGTGTGTGTGTGTGTAAGAAAGGATTGTCTATGAGTTAGTTCACTCGTGTGAAGCAAACTGTGACTGACTTGATCCCCACTTTTGAGACAGAATACTTTGCAGAGGTGCTTTGTAGCTTCTCTTCCACTCACTTGACTCTCTCCTCCTCTCACAGTTTAGGATGTGCTTCAGCTTTTCTCTCTACAGTAAAAAAAATAAACCGACAGCAGTAACAGTGAGTAAAAGCATAAGCTTATTATCTCCACTCAAATAAATGTGAATCTCAGCCTTATTACTAAACTCCTCAGGGTGTCACACATATTGATTTATAATATCAATACAACTGACCATCAGAACAAAACGATGGTGCGCTTATTTCTCAGTTGAAAGGCTGAACAATACACACATTAAGTACGCTTAACCTTCATCCCTCAGCTCCCTCCTCCCCCCTGTCTCCACACCTTCCCCGTCCTGTTTCACTATTTTTATGAAAGAAAGAAAGATGAGCACTAATAAACATCTGAAACAAGATTTTTTTTTATCAATTTCAAGTTAAATATGCACCTCAAAGCTGATTCAGTTGTTATGAGGTTGTCTTTTTAGACTGTAGAAAGTCTGTCGCTTTCTTCTTCT